CGACCGAGCACGAGTGGCTGGTGCGGGCGGCTGGGGGCTGCTGGACGCACCAGCTGCACGGGCTGCTGCTGCGCGACAGCGGCCTGGCGGCCAAGCGCGACTTCATATCTGGCTTCACGGCCCTGCACTGGGCCGCCAAGAGCGGCGACCGCGAGATGGCGCTGCAGCTGGTGGAGGTCGCGCGGCGCGGGGGCGCGCCGGTGGACGTGAACGCGCGCTCGCACGGCGGCTACACGCCGCTGCACCTGGCGGCTCTGCACGGCCACGAGGACGCCGCCGTGCTGCTGGTGGTGAGCCTGGGCGCGCAGGTGCACGTGCGTGACCACAGCGGGCGGCGCGCCTACCAGTACCTGCCGCCCAGCGCCTCGTACGCGCTTCGCCGCCTCCTCGGCGACCCCTGCCTTCGAGGCTCTCCCGAGGCCGACGCCACCGGGGCTGGTGGGGGCACTTTTGCGGCCCGGCGCCCAGTGCAGGTGGCCGCCACCATCCTCAGTTCCACCACCAGCGCGTTCCTGGGTGTCCTGGCCGACGACCTGATGCTCCAAGACCTGGCTCGAGGCATGAGGAAGTCGGGCTCCTTTAACAAGTTCTTGGGTGCCTCGCCCATGGCTCCACGTAAAAAGACTAAGACCCGCAGTGGCCTGCCGGCTTTTTCAGAGATCGCTCGTCGACCTACTCCGGGGCCCTTGGCTGGTCTGGTGCCCAGCCTGCCCCCTACAACCTGACGGCCCCTTGAAGCCCAGCTTGGTTGATGCAACCCGGCCTGCCCCTCACAGTCTAAGCCTGCCCAAAACAGCGGCTCAACACCTCTGGCTCCATCCTGTTTCCAGCTTTGTCCACTGAAGCCTACTGACTTATAGTTTCAGAAAGTCTTGCCTGCCCCGGTGGGCCTACGCCTCTGGCTTTCTAGCTTCTGCCTGAAGCTTGACCTGTCTCTGGAGATGGGAGTCAAGATCTCAGTGAGAGCGTCTACAAAGAACTCCAGAGATCAGGCTTGAACACTGGAGACTCGAATTTTAGGATCAAAGTTAACCCGAAGCCTCTGCATCTACACGCTCCCAAGCCACAACTAGAGCAAGGATCTCTTTAAAAAATGTTGTGTGCTGCTGGATTGTTTGTCAGCTTTAAGATACCTGGTGGTTTTGTAATTTGATGCTTTTATCCTGTTTTTAAATTAAAATGAGGTAAAACAACTTTCATAATAACCTTTTGAAATTATATTTTTCCATTTTTAGGCAAAATGCTCATTTTCAGTCTTTTGCTAAGTATTTTGGAATTCTGTTTAAAGAAAAAACAGATGATCAAGATCTAAAGGAAATTAGTCCCAACCAACAAAACCCTTAAAGGTTTATCTACCTCATTTTAGGAGCTCAAGGTTCTAGAGACTTGAACACAGAATGTAACCATTGTGAATGTAATTAATTTCAATTGTACTGTGAATGCTCAATATTAGGAAACAAGTGCATCTTGGGAGTAAGAATGATTTAACAGAGAAAAGAGACATTTTGGCAAATACTTTTAATTTCTGGTGGTCTTTATGATGAAATATAAACAGTGTCTCCGGCACTGGTGGGTGATTATTTTGATTTGGCATGAATATTTAATTTTTTAAGTGTGATTTATTTGTGAATGCACCATTGTGCCATGTTTTGGAATCTGGTTTTCCGGTCTGGCTGAGCCTTTCAATGCAGTAGGTAAATATTCAAAGAAAAACATGTCATAGCATTATACCAGAAAAATAAGTGGTTAAGTGGATACACTTAAACAGCAACTATTTTATATGTAAATTCTATTCTATAGAAACAAAAAGTATGTTATATCCACCTTTAAAAGCCATCTGAAAGCAAACAACTTACAGCAAATGCAGAATTCTTTGCTCAGTGACCTTAGAAGGATGGCTTAACTTCTCTGGACCTTTGTTCCAATCTGTAATTGAGAAGGTTTGTAGCTATTTACCAAGAGGTCCCAGGTTCAACACATTGTAACTATAATGGCTCTTTTTCTGTTTTAAAAATGGGGACTCTATTTGCTCAACCAGGCTTTTTAAAATATCATATTGTGTTAATGCTCTGTTTTTGCAAATTATGTTTGCATGTCATTAGTTATATCAAATAGTTTTGTGGCACAAGAGGAGTATGGCTTCTCTCTCTCTCTCTCCCTCTCTCTCTCTCTCTATATATATATACCAGTGAGGCCTCTGACATTATTTAAGGCCATCCTTAATGGAATGTTTTGATTTAAGCAATGAAATAAACAAGTCTCCCATTTTGTTCCTGCTTGTGTGATAATGTACTTCCCTTAAACATTCTCCAGCTCTTGCTACTGTATTTTTCTTGTCTTTTTATCTACTTAATTCCTTCAGTTTCTCCTCATCCTCTTCTGCCTCTTCCAGGCATTCTATTATTGAAAGAGTTTGGATTGATCAGCTAAATGCAGGCTGCATCCACACACGAATATAGCATCCAAAAAAAAACAACAGATGAATGCAGGCCCTGATCTGACCCTCCCCACCTTCCTTGCCTGGAACTCTAGCTAAGCTGCATAAATTATTTAAAAATGCAAATTAAATCTGCCTCTGCAGAAAAATTGTGGGAGGCAATAATTATAGCAATCTCAGTTGCTGAAGGTCTGGAAGACAGAATAAAATATTAGAGATTTTCCATGGTAAAAGAGAGGCTTGACTGAGACAGGATAACAAAGGTCACAAACACAGGTATGACCTGCCTTGAGAAAGACAAAATCTAAACCAGCAAAGTAATAATAACCAATGTCTATTACACATTTAAATCAGAGGAGGGTTAAACTGCCAGAAGAATCCTTGTGTTTCAGAAGCATGCTACAAGCCTTCTGAGTGAAATAAAACATTTGGCAAGAGTTTAGGATCAGTAAACTTAAAACTTAGGTGTTAGAAACCACCGTTTTTTCCTTGCAGGTCAAGACTTTCTGAAACTATAAGTCAGTAGGAAATTATACTTTGATACGCATATGGAAACTTTTCAAGAACCATTTATTGCCTAGCAGGAGGTACACCTATGAGAGGTATTTTCAACAAATGACCAAAAAAACAGTTGCTTATAAATTAAGGCAATTTAGCTGGCTAGAATTGTCACAGGGAAGAGAATCACTCCTTTTAATGGGAGAGAAGTTAATTGTTATATATAGATGTTTATGAGTCATCCAGAGCAAGCTTTTAAATAAAGGTTTATACTTCCTTTAAAGGAGGTTGGAGGTTGTTCTAGAACATGTCTCACTTACCTAATGGAGACCAGGATATGGGTGATGCACATACAGCCTGGGTTTATGAAGCACCAGGAGCAGTTTTAATCACTGTGCAGGTATTAATCTCAACCTTACAAGGTATGTCCTGTTGGTATCTTGAATTTAAAGTGAGGAAACAGAAGCCTCAAGAAACTAAGTAACTTGTCCAGGCCTCACAGCTATAACAGTCAGAGCTGGGATGGCCTCCTGGTGCTCTTTTCCATCACAGTGTCCTGCTGCAGAAAAGCAAGGTGGTCTCATCTCAGCCCTTACTCATCTATTGACCTTAGGTGAGTCACCCAGTTCTCCAAGCTCTATCTCCCTCTTCCATCGGCCGCAAGAATGGCAGTATCTATCCTACAGACTGTGAGGAGGGTGCAGCATAGGGAAGTAGGTAGAGCTCCTTGGGAACTGCAATACCATCTTGAAATATTACCAGGGGTGCCCGTTAGTCCCACAGCGGTATCTGGCTGCATTCCAAAACCAAATAGCTCTCATTTGTGGCTTTGCTTTACAAGATCACCATTCTTTAACCATGTTCGTATTTGTATACATAAATAACAATGGACTCCGATGGGAAAAATGTATATTCCCACCAAAGGGAGATTATCTCACATTCTGTATGATATCACTTTAGTTGAAAATAGACATCAAAATGTCTTTCTTAATGCACATTCCCGTAGCATCCCTACCCCTGTCTTCTAGACCTAAACAGATGTCATTCAGCCAGCTGGACTGAAAGCACTCCTCAACACAGTTCTAAAGCTGGGCCCACTCAGAACCCATATTCTCCCCCTTTTTTGGCCTTTTCCTGGAAGAAATTATTTGGCCTTTTAAAATAGTTTGACAAATAGACTTTTTATTGCTCTCCAGATTGCTTTTTGCCTTGAATCTCTTGTCCTGGCCTTACCCTTCCAGAACTGCCACACCTCTGGACTTGAATCTGTGAAGCACTGGTGGCCTCACATGTTTCTGCAGGGAAGTGGAAAAAAGGAAGAGAAAGAAATAAGGGTGAGGGTGTGTGTGTGTGTGTGTGTGTGTGTGTCCAGACGTCTCCTCCGGGGAGGCCGGGGGGGGGAGGAGATCGTCCTAGGGGGAAGGTGGTACTGATTTAAGTTTCAACGACAACAGGTAAACACCCACCCTGCCGGTCCAACCCGCAGCCAGGCTGGGATGGTAACACTGCGGGGGTCTTGGAGAGGATTGCTTTAAGAGCGGTTGCCGGCCCCCACCTCTTCCTCCTTCTGCTCCCACATTCCCCTTTCACCTCTTCCCTCTGCGGTGCTCAACCACATTTGACCTACATTTCCACCCAAGCTTCTGATTTACATGTGAATGAACAGCACCGCGATTTGTTCCTGCGAGGATCCCGGAGGTTTACAGCCGCCGCTCGCGGAGGGACGTGGTGTGCCGAGCAGGCTGTTCCAGACAGAACGCCGCTTCCCTATTCGGTTTGCAATTTAGAGTCTGAAGGTAAAAAGTACACTAATTAAATCCATATTAGGCGGAGCAGCGGGGGCGGGACGAGGCGAGCGCGGGAGGCGGCCGCGGGGCTGCCTGTTGCCTAGCAACAACGCCAGCCGAAGCCGGCCCTCCGCAAAAAGCCAGGGGACAGCGCCGCAGGCGGCGGGGCTGGGGGCGGAACGAACGGGGGCGGGCGCTGGCGGCTTGAGGAGGTGGGGGCAGAAACCCCAACAGAGACCCTTGAAACCCTCTTTTCCACCCCGGGAAGGCTCTTTTTGATACCGATACTCGAGATCAACACCCCCGGCTTCCCTCCTGCCCACTTCTCATTGACCAACAACTTTCCAACCAAGGCCTGGTGACAAAGGAAAGCAAGCCAGCTTCCCCGTGGCTGGCTGGCCAGAATTTCTTACCAACAGAAGCAAAAAGGCTCAGATCCAGCCTTCAGGCTTAAAGAGCACTGCTCTGCGGAGAAGGCAAAGACCCGGTGCTTAGCCCAGAGGGCCTACTGCCGGGGGAGGAGGCTACAGTGAAGGGCAGGTAGCCTTCATCACAGGGCGAACAGTGCCCTCTGCTGGCAGCATCCTGGCGGGTGGAATTCACCGGGCTTCTGGCACCTGCCCACACACCACCACAAAAAGTCTTAGTCTGGGGGCGCCTGGGTGGCTCAGTGGGTTAAGGTCTGCCTTCGGCTCAGGTCATGATCTCAGGGTCCTGGAATCCAGCCTCTTGTGGGGCTCCCCGCTCAGGGGCGAGTCTGCTTCTCCCTCTCCTTCTGCCCCTCCCCGTGCTCTCTCTCAAATAAAGATCTTTAAAAAAAAAAAAAAAAGTCTGTGGTGCCAATACTAAACACCTATGGTGCTCATTCTTGCACTCTGACGGAATAACAGTGTGGAAGGGACATAAAATGGGTCAGGAAGAACACAGAGGCAAGATGAAAGATGGGTGAAGGAGGTGAGGCCCTACTCTCCCCATCTGGTAAGGACAAGCACAGGAGCCTCATGATTCCCCGTGGAAAAACCCAGGACAGAACCAAAGTGCATTTTAACGGGGCCATGGCAGACACTGCTCCTCAAGCCCATCCGGGGCTGGAAGTGCTTTTTCTGAATACTACACAATTTCCATTGGCCTAACTGATGACTGTTAAGTGTTTTCTTAAGAATATCACATTGGGGGGTGCCTGGGTGGCTCAGTTGGTTAAGCGACTGCCTTCAGCTCAGGTCATGATCCTGGAGTCCCGGGATCGAGTCCCGCATCGGGCTCCCTGCTTGGCAAGGAGTCTGCTTCTCCCTCTGACCCTCCTCCCTCTCATGCTCTCTGTCTCTCATTCTCTCTCTCTCAAATAAATAAATAAAATCTTAAAAAAAAAAAAAAAGAATATCACATTGGGAGGATGCAGAGGGTGCTGTACAGGGCAAAAGGCAGAAATAAATTTATTCCATCCAGACTATCTCAAAGCGAGCTGCCTAGGCTGAGGACTTCGGAGCGGAGGCCCCACCCACAGCGTTCAAAGGAGAGAAGCAAAGCATAATGTTAGAACCCACAAGTGTTTCAGCAGGAGCCCCATATGTTTTTTTATAAAGAGGCACAATGTTAGCATTGTTCTGTGCTCAATAGTCCAACTGTTATAACTAATGCTTTTGGTATGAATACGACCATTTAAAATTCCCAACCAGTTGCACTTAGTGACAATACGCATCAGAAAACAAGCCCAGAAGCAGAGATTTCTCACTTTGGGGTCAGTTGGCTTTACATACACATACACATGCCTTTTAATGTGCCCAACTTCCAAAAATACACTCAACATTTGCATGAACAATGTTCTTGGCCCTGGCGTGTGCAGCTGCAAATACTAAAGCACATTTTCACATGTATATTTGAGAACTTAACATTGACTCTGTGCACACAGGGCAGATGCACAAACAGAGGGCAGTGTGTGTCCTCCGTTTCATTCCACACCAGCACCTAACTCCCCACTCCCAACCCCAGCTCACCTCCAGCTTAGCCTCTCTAGCACACAAGCAGAGCTGCCTCTCCAGGTCCTCAACCCCCCTATTCTCGGTCTCCAGGTCTCCCGTGCCTCACCTTCAGCTCCCATGCCCAACACCCTCCTCAAGCCTGGCGGATCCAGTGGGGCGTCCAAGGAGAGCTGGATAAACTCACTTTTGATAATATGGTTCTTTCTGAGTCTTGGAATAAATGTCCCTGAATTCATCAAGGTTTTTAGGCAGCAAAGCAACTGAACCTATTTTGTGTATGGGGAAATTCCTTATCCCTTGAGTCTTGAAGGGAAGCAGTTACCCCCACTTCCACTTTTGAGGTGGGAGGCTTGGGTAAAAACCAGCAAAGGAGACCTGGGGCCGGCCAGTCAGGCCTAGGCTTTTGTGGTGTTGATGGAGTCACCAGAACTGTAGGGATTACTGGGGCCAGTGGAGCTGGAAGGCCTGGCATTCCCTTGGTCCCTCCTGGCTTCAAGCCTGTATCCCAGTCTTCCTAGGGATTCCCAGAGTTGACCTGAGGTCCTCCAGCAAATCCCTCCTCTGCTCTAGTCAGGCAAGGCTGGTGTCCACTGTCTGTAAACAAAATTCGTCCCCCAAGCTAGGCTCCAGGTGACACACACACTCCTCACATCAATTATGATTAAAAAAGAAAAGAAAAAAAGACCATTTTGCATATTAAGTTGAAATGCTCCTCTGATTTGTCTCCTCTCCCTCCCACCAACCCAGACAGAGCCTCTCTCCTCACAAAAAGAGGGGAATACTGCAGTTTTTAAAATCCATAAATTAATTACCAAATAATCCACACGACTTGGGTAAGGCTACATGAAAACACTTAGAAGTATGCTCCCGGCCAGGGAAGAGCACCGAGTCAACCAGCGTCACCCCAGTGATGTGGGGGAGGGGCAGAGGCCGTGCTCCCCACCCCCACCGCCTGTAATTAGGGGGGAGGCGGAAGGAAGGGCGGTTTATCTGGAAGACGGGTCTCTGGGGGCCAGGCCAGCCTGGGGGGCAGGGGACGAGGGCCCAGGTCGCTCCTGACAGCGTCCAGCTGGTCCTGAAGGAGCCGGACCCGCTCGTCCAGGCTGCGCCGCTGGGCCAGGACGGCCGCCTTGCCGGCCAGCAGGGCGCGATAGGCGCTCAGCTGCTCGGCGGGCAGGGCCCGCAGCAGCACCTCGCGCAGGGCCCGCTCGCGCCGCGCCACGTGCTCCTTCAGCTCCTTGGCGTCCTCCTGCTGTCGCTGCAGGAGCCCGAGTCGCCGCAGCAGAGAGGCCTGCAGCGG